TGCTGTTAGCTGAGGGCCAGCATGTGTGTAATCTCTGTGCTGTTAGCTGAGTGCCAGCATGTGTGTAATCTCTGTGCTGTTAGCCACAGGCCTGCATGTGTATAATCTCTGTGCTGTTATCTGAGGACCGGCATGTGTGTAATCTCTGTGCTGTTGTTAGCTGAGGGCCGGCATGTGCTTAATCTCTGTGCTGTTAGCTGAGGTCTCCAGTTATACTTTAGCACTTCCTCAAACAGGAAGCCAGCAGCAGTGCTGACCCTGCATGCCCTGCCTCTCTCAGCCAAGGTGAAACAGACTGCTCACACAGTTTGTCCCCAAGCACCCAGGGAGAAGGAAGGGCTTTGCGACTTACTGAGAAGCCAGGCGCTCCCTAGCTGTTCACCTTACCTTCAGGCTTACAGCTCGCTGTCTTCTGGCCAGTTCGCCCATTTTAAATGAGCAACCCTGGGCCAGGCAATAGATGAGGAGTGTATGCCCATCTCTGCTCCCTGGTTAAGGCAAAAGTTTCCAGCTAAATTAGCATAGTCTTAAGTTCCAGGAAGAGGTGAAAGAAGCAAGATGCTTTCTCATCTGAATTCATTTTCAAAATCAAAAACTTCAAATGGATTAGTTAGCACTTCAAACAAAAAGTAATGTAATAGCACAAATGTATATAACCCTGAGACTAAACAAATATTAATAAATTAATAAAATAAAAAACTCAAATTCCCTATGTTAGGGGAAAAAATACAAAATGTCCTAATACTTAACTACTTGACTTTCTTCCAGTCCAGAAGATCTGTGTACGTCATTCTCATGTAAGATTTTGTGTTTATGCTCCACACAAGTGTGTGTGTGTGTGTGTGTGTGTGTGTGTGTGTGTGTGTGTGTGTGTTTAGAGAAGGGATTCCTGCACATGTGTATGGAGGCCAGAGGTCATCACTGGGTATATTCCCAAACTCCTCTCCACCGCGTTTTTGCAATGGGCTCTCTCTTTGATCTTGAAACTCACCAGCTAGCTAAACTAGATGGCTAGCAAGCCCCGGGCATGGCTCTCCTTTGGCTTCCTCAGTGCTGGGATTGCACTGGCATATGTGGGTCAAACTCCCTGCCTCATGTACTCCACTGACTGAGCCATCTTTCCAACCCTTCTTTATCCTTTGAGTACTGTGCCAACTACAACTAGAACTCTGGTCTTGTCTCATTACTGGATTATAGGGAATGCTTCTAACATTTCATAATGCAGTATCTGATGTGTAGTTTTAGACAGTCTATCAGATTAAAGAGTTTCCTTCCCTCACAAATTTCCTTCCCTGACAGTTTCTGTTTTGTTAAACGAATCCGTATCAATGTTATTACTGATTTCATATATGTTTTAGGAAAACCTCACAGTCTGTAGCCAGCCAATGTAGTAAGTCAATATATTTTGAATGTCAAACCATCCTTCCATCCTTGCATTACTGTGCGATGCGCTATTAAATGGTCGCAATGGCTTTTCCTAAAACACACTCATTACTAAAGATGGCACAGGCTTGGGAGACCACACTAACTGATGTAGAGTCGGGCTGCTCACCGGTTAACACCTATGTAAAGGCCATGCTGGTCAAGGAACAAAAACCTCACCAGGACCTCCCATCTCCCTCTTCTGTTACTCCTTCATTCTTCCTTGAAAGACACTAAGATTGATTTCAACTAATCACTTCCTTCATTTTCTTAAGACTTTTATTGTTGAAATGCTCACTACTCGCACTTTGCCTGGGCAGAAATTTCTGAATATAGATTCACAAGGTAGTTCCTTCTTCGGGCTTCTCTCATTTCATTCTGAATTTTCATTGTGATTGAGCTCTCAGTGATTGTGATGGAGTTTCACCTTCATCACTGCACAATGTTCTGGTGTATGAATAAAAATAGTATCTCAAACTGTCAGCGACTTCCAACTGGAGGCCATTACAAGCAATGTTACTGTATAATTTGAGATTCTGTAGTATTTTTTGAGGGTTTTTTTCTTTGATATTTAAGTATTTTATGTTCATTTTAAACGTTTTAGTAAT